GTTGAGCTGTAACGTTAGGTCAGCTGTGTATATATTTTTTAATATTTTCCTTAAAATCCTTAAAATTTCCGATATTTGCAAATTAGATCATGTTCAACATTACATTCCTCAATATACCTGTTTGTGTGATCTTTTTCATTCATTACCTGACTCTGTACATTTCCACCTGCCTTCGCCCCTACTGTACATGCTTACCAATTTATAGAAACAATTGATTTGTATATGACAGTGTGTGTTTGTCATTCTTGTCTTGTATGTATGTATTTACTACTGCTCATAAGTTTGGCTTCACCTGTTATATTGGCGATTTTTCTTCTTTCCTTCAATAATGGCAAGATAAAAACAGTATAATTCAGACACCAAATGTATTATTTGCATTTTAAATGATAATTTTGCCCCCCAAAGAAAAATATAATATATATAGTTTTCCAGTCCAGAAAAGCATCAGTGAGCTGAGATTATTATTGAATAACAACAGTGCTCTAAACATTTCGGGAATGTGTTTTTCTTTGGGCCCTCTGCAGCCTACTCAGTGAGTCCATACCATGTTCAGCTGATATTCTATAGTTCTAACCCTGGACTAAACGTCTGTTTCTGTTCTGAAGTTTTAATTCCAGCCTGTTATCGGCTTTATAATGAACTGAAACAGGAACTTGTTCCTGTTTAAATCTGCACCAATTTTGATGCTTCACTTCCAGTTTCTTTGTCCAGTGACTGCTAATTTCTTCTATTCTTATTGAACTGTTGCTCAGAGGGATCTTTGTCTCTTTCTGCCCTTTCATTTGTCAGTCTGGTTAAACCATTGCACAGCGTTTTTTCTTCTCCATGTACAAAATATTCCTTTTCTTGTCGGGCTATACGATGTGGTAAAAGCATCATATTGCCATTATTTTGACAGATATTGCGATTATGATATGATTCACAATTAGTAGGAACGAGCATCTTTGCCTTGTGCATCGACAAATGTAATTTATCACTGACAAAACTATGAAAAGCATGGATGAACATTTTGGGGGGTCTGTCTCTGTGTCAGAGCAAGCGGGTCGTCCCCCCAATCAGGGAAGGTTGTTGGTTCGATCCCAGCGGGCTCCTGGCCTTGCCACGTGTCGAAGTGAGAGTATCCCTTGGAGCAAGACTGCAACCCAAATTGCTCCGATGCATAGCATCAGTGTGTTGGATTTGTGTGTATGAATGAGTTAGTTTCGTTCGATGGGGACTTTACCATCACTGGAGGTGAATGGTGTGTGAAAGGGTGAATTGGTGGCACGTGGTTTGAGTGGTCGGAACGACTAGAAAGGCGGCTGATACAGAGTGACAGGTCGCATTGTACGATCTCTACCTCTAGGGAAACAATATTTGTAGACCAGGAATCTGCTACAGTAGTTCGATTATAATTCGCTTTTTTCCCCCACACATTTTACCTCTTAAAAAAAGACTGCAGCTTCCTGGATTGTATAATTGCAATTTCAGTCATAATACTGTCGCATTTTTGTGCAACCTGTTGTGTTTGCAAACCCTTGTAATGAAATAAAAGACTTTGTACACCTCTAAAGCATGGAAAGACCAGTCAAAACTTTATGAGAGCAGTCCTCTCAGGCCATCTGCTGTAGCCCCAGTCGAGCCTTTTGTGGCACCGTTTCCTGGTACGTGTTCACGCCGCCACTTTATTCTCCCTCTCGTAAAACGGATTTGTTTCTGGAAGTCTGGGGTCTCCAAACTGTATAGCACAGAAGACATTGTTAGCAAATCGCTACCGAAGTAAAGCTAACTATCTAGCCATAATACTGTGCCCCTTGCGTACGTGTATGGATGGAACTATGCATGCGCAAACCACTGCAGTCAGACAGACGACAGTGACTGAATCTGAGCCCGCTGGGCGCAGTAAGGAGAGGGAGTGGAAGAGGAGTCCTGGCTGCAAGGTTCAGTGCAACTGGAAAGAGTCTCCTGAAGACAAGGCCAGGAGGAGTGCTCCGTCCCCTCAGGTTACCGCGGTTACATCCACCTCCATACCGCAATGTCACTGTCTCCACTGTTCAACCTCAGCTTGTTAGCTAGATGGAATGTATGAGTTATGTTCTACGGTCAGGAACCTGTATTGTCGACTTGATTTTCAGTGGAATTCATGGCATTTTGGAATAATACATGACGGTCAATCACACCCATTAGATAGTCAGGTGTCATAGTCTGCGGCCATCGTGCTTTGTGCTGATTGTTCTTTAGGCTTCGCTGATTGTAATTTGTGTTAGTTGATTATGTGGTCTGGTTTATGGTCTGTGAGTGTAGTTCTGCTTTTCTTTGTGATTGTGGTTTTGTTTCATGTGACGCGTGCAGACGTGTTGTAGAAAAGAACACATTTTTCAGTCTACACCGGTGGTCAAATAGGCTCTTCTTTATTTGCACAGTTTTGTCAGACGCCCGTAAACAGATGGAGGGGTCTGGGGATTATCAAGGAGTAAACCAGGAGCAATGTGTGTGGCGGAAAGGAGCCAATGTGTATTGAAAGTTTAAATATCATATGTGCAATCGCTGTGAGCCAACCGCCGAGAACTCAATTCGTATCCACACCGATTGGTACTGTGGCGAGCAGAAATCTCAAAGACAGAGATATCGTTCGTCTGAACAAAGTGAATAGCAAGACAAGAAATCACCGGACCTAAAAAGATACACTACAAAAGGTATGTCGTCTACTCTTAAGTGATTTGACAAAGCGAGAGAGATTTAAAAGCAGAATCAGCGTTTATTGGAACAGTGTACAAGGAATTTGACTCATGCAAGAACCACGTTGCACAAGAATAGGATTCGTCATAAGCGGCACGTAATGACAGATGTAAGGTGCAAAAGCACTTATGTGAGACTGTTTACTTTAAAACAGTGGTTTTAACCTGGGTGCTGGTTGGAGTTGGCAGGGTGGTCCCCGGGCACAAAGGGGAAACATTTAAATGTTCACGTTATGTATCTTGGCTACAACACTTGCCCCAGTTAGATAAATATATAGAGATAAT